GTGTGTGAAGTTATATAACGAAGGTTGAACGCAGCACCCTGTCGTATCTAGCAGGTTTCACCCCACTCGGGGCGATAATACTGGCGGTTTGAGTGATATAACATTTGTCCTTTCTAACGTCGGGACCAGCTCTTCCGCATCCTTGACCACATTACCCCCTCCGAGCAGACGGTTTCCGGCCGTGGCTACCGATGGAGGGCAGCTCCGAAAGCACAGCCCTCTCGGCGGTGGCCGTGTGAGCGGCTGGGTGGCTCTTGTAACCGGGGCCCTCTCGTCGCAGCGGGATAGACTCGGCCGGCGCGGTGCATCAGTCTATGATCCATAAAGCACAATGCCTTCCCATTTATTCTCACATCTAATGCCACTGAAATGGACGGGCCGAAATCAACAAAACAAACACCGTGGCTCGACCTGGGAGGACATCGTGTTCGCTGGGGCCGGGGGATGTGTGTGAGGCGGCCGGTGCGGCGGCGCGCCATGCTGCCTCTCTCCCCCGTCTACCCCTGGGAGCGGGCCCTGCCCTGCACGGCGGCGGAGGGCGGCCCGGCCGGTCGTCCGCCGCCGCTCCCCACTTGGCCGCGCGGAGGCGTGGCCTCCACTGCACGACTGCCGTGCCAGCTTCGCCGCCCGGCCGCCAGGTGGCAGGGTATGTCGCCTCGGTGGTCGCCGCTCGTCACGCCGACCCGTTGGAAAAGGGCTGCAATCGACAGGGGAGAGCCGATGGGGTACGGGACGGCGGCACGTACCCCTGTGTGCCCCACTCCGCCCCGCGCCGACCGCCGCCGGCCCCCCTGGGAACGCCGCCCGGCGCTCGGTGTGTGTGTGGGGGGGGGGGGGGGGGCGGGGGGCCGGGCGGGGCGGATGTCAGCTGACGCGCCGCAGTCAGCTGTCGCCGCCGGCCGGCGGTGGACGTGTTGGGGTGGTGTGCCGACGGCCGGCGCTCGCTGAGCTGACGCCGAGTGGGAGGGGCCGCCACTGCGCCGCCGGAGCCTGATCAGGTAGGTGCCGGCCGGGGCCCAGGTGGGGCGCGGCGGCCCGGGCCGAGGGGCAGCGCCGGGTGCAGCGGGCTGTCGCCGCAGTGAGTGCTGAGGGGCCGGTGAGTGGTGACCAGCAGCGGCCGTGTGACGGCGCGGCGCCCCGCTGCCGGCAGCGCAGTGCGCCGTACTCGGGCGCTGACGTGGCAGGCGTCCGTCCGTCCGTTCCGCTGGGGCCGCCGGCCGTGATTCAGCCTTGGTATGCGGCGCGACCGGCCGACCGGGCGGGCGCAGCTCGGTGACCGGTGCCGCTGCGCCGCCGGCCGGCCGCCGACTGCTGCCGTACCGTACCCCGCCGCTGCCGGCGGCGGCCGGACCCCGCCGCCCACCGCTGCTGCCCCGCTACGCTGCCTTGTTGACGGCCCACTTGGTGACCTACTTACGGCGTGTCGCATCGACTCGAGCTGCCGCTCGCCGGGCGCCCGGGGGTCGGCGAGCGGGCACGGCGGTGTCAGTCGCCGTGTCGGTGTCAGTCGCCGTGGCGGTGTCAGTCGCAGCCGTGTGTCTGTCGGTCGCCTTCAGGTGTCAGCTGTCGTGTCCACTGGCTCGGTTTGTCCACTGGCCCGCCCATGTACCGCAGGAATCTCTCCATTGCCGTCTGCCCAGCTCGTCTATCGTGCAGGGCGCCAGTGAGCCGAGTGCCAGTCGGAACGCGGCGTGGCGATTCCCCGTGGAGTCGATGGTTTCTCACGGACCCTATCCGAACGTCGTGCAGGCTCTGTCAGATCACTTGGTCAGACGCCGGCTGTTCCTGGTCCCCTCCCTTCCCCTGCCCCCCCCCCCCGCGGCGCGTGGGAGACACGCAGGTCGGCGGCGCCGCCGGGGTGCCTGGGCAGTCCGTGTCTGGCCCATGAGCCCGGCTGGATGGAGACGCCAGCCGGCCGGTCTGACACGGGCCACGCGCCCGTGTGGGGAGGCAGCGCTCCACCGCGGCCCGGCCCGGCCTGGGGCGGCCGGACGATGCAGTGGGGCGGCGGACCGATAGCTGAGGTCGCGGGGGCGGCGCGGGCAGTTATCGTCGACAGGGCTGTCGGACAGATAGGCAGCAATTTGCAGCACTTCACGGCTAGTGATAGGACCCGCCTCTGTGCATAGTTCACGTGAAGCGTCATTCTGTATCTCCGATAGTTTATCAGCTTCCCTGAGTGAGGCTACGAACGGAAGTAGACCGTTAACCATTTAGGCGTTTTACTAAACCCACCCATTGAAGTGTCAGTTATCTGGAGCCAGCTGGGCCGAGCTGGGCGACCCGGCCATTACCGGATGGTTTCAGACGGCTCCAGTAGTTCAGTGGGTTTCCATGGAGCCCCCTGTTGTCTGGTTTCAGACAGCCCCCGGGGTTATATGCAAATGAGCTTCTCTATGGAGCCCGCCCCTTGTCGTCTCTCGGTGTTTTCAGGCGACTCAATGGTTATATGGAGTCTCCTCTAGTCTCTCGGCGGTTTGGTGTTCGCCTCGTCGTGTGTGGCTCCGTTCGCAGACAATCTTGTTTATGGCGTGTGACCAGTCCATAGGTCGGCGGCAGTTAGTGGCCCGGAGATGGCGCCGGGAGTCCATAGGTCGGGGGGGGGGGGGCGCCGATAGTCTGTCACGAGCTCGGCGGCGCGGGGCGGGGGCGCCGCTCAGCTCATTAACAGTCGAGGGGCGCCGCCTGAAGTCAATTACCGCTGTGAGAAGTGAGTTGTCATCGCGGCGCGGGGCGCGAGGCTGCCCTGCTGACCACTGAGTACAGCTGAGGGCGGTCGGTGTGTGTCTGTGGAGGGCGGCACTCCGTCCCTTCCCGTGGTGACTGGGGATGGGGTGGGAGCAGAGGAGGCAGCTGAAGAGCGCGGTGACCGGGTCTGTGGTCCCGTCCCGCCTGTCTCGCTGTCCCGCAGCTCCGTCCCGCTCACCGTGTAGCCCCGCCCCGCCTGTCCCACTGTCCTACCCTCCTGTCTTGTCCCGCCCCGCCAGTCTGGCAGTCTCGTCCGTCCGGCTCGATCCGCCGCCTTATTCGGCCGGCTGTCGACCTGTTGTGACGACGGCGGCGACCGGTAGCCTGTGTGCTGTGTGCTGCCGATGGCGTCCACCGGAGACCTGTGACCTGTGACGACCGTCCCCCCGTCCCCCGTCCTACCGGCGTCCACCGACGTCCACCGGCGTCCAGGGTCCAACTGGCGTCCAGCGGCGTCCACCAGCACCAACCGGCATCCGACCTGTGTCGGCTGTGTCCACCGGAGTCCACCGGCGTCCACTGATGTCCACCGGCATCCTGCCGGCGTCCACCGACGTCCACCGGCGTCCACCGACGTCCACCGGCGTCCACTGGTGACGGACGGCAGTGGCGCGCCCCGCGGCCCCGCGTCGGATATTGTCCGCGTCGGACAGATTTAAGGCTCCGAGCTCCCGAAGCACTGGCGAATAAAGTGGCGGCCGGGCGATGGCGTTCTCTGGGAATATTGCCCAAAGATCCAGCACTCGTCGAACGGCTGGACCGTCAGCTGACAGCTAGTTGGGCGACTATCCCGTCCTGACAGGTTATTGGAGATGAACTGCTTACATATCTCTGGCAATAACACCGTTTATTTTGACCAATGACCATCTTACTGACAAGTAACCCAGTGTTACGCCAATCGTTCTCGATATTTTTATGGTGACCGTTGGTAGCATTTATCTCTTAACCCGCGAGTTGCTGGGGGGGGGGGGGCGTTAAACGCCCCCACTTTTTTCGCCGGGCCATAGCATAAAAATGGCGCGCTGCGGCGCGCCAAATTTTGGGTACCTGTAGGGAATTGATTGAAGTTTATTGTGACAAAGTTTCAAAAAAAAAATCGGTCGGAAATTTTTTTTGAGATATCGAGGTTTTAGTGCGTCATGATTTCTGAGTTTTCGACCAAAAACGGCATATGTTCAAAAAATCATATAAAATCACAGGATTGACATACAGACATACCGTAAACACCATTAGACTGCCAACACCATGAACAATCAAATGGCTATCTTCGATTATTGATTATCGTTCCGCATTTTCCAAAATCTTGAACTGAATCTTGGCAATTTCTCGTGACTACTTCACGAATCACGACCATGATACATGCATTTCTTAAATTGAACTTTTTGAGCCAAACACGTACACATATGATAAAATGAATGTCACCATCGTGTTGTACGCCCCAAATTACCCATAAAACATGTGTCAGGCTGCGAATATCAGTTTTGATTTTTGGGGATATGTGCCTACCCGGTTGACCTGACCTTGACCCTGACCTATGCTTGACTGACCCCTACATAGACCTGACACTCTTGCAGGCCTTAGATGATGGATTGTGCACCGTTCTGACAGAGTTTATGGCGAGAGGCGCCCATTGCGAAATCCTGAAGTCCATGCTACTGAAAGCCCGATTTCAGGTGTTTGACCTGACCTTGACCCGACATGTGACCTCAAAATTCAACTTTAAAGTACTCATCTGAAGCGTCTCGTCGCGTTCTTTCGTTTGCCGCCTCGTGCGTTTCGCTGCGCCTATTGGTTCTCGAGTTATCGGCTGGGGGCGTTTAACGCCCCCTCCCAGCAAACGGTGGGTGGCGAAATACATACCCCAGCAACTGCCGGGTTAAACATAGGCGATGTTCTGAGAAGGCCTTTCAAGCGTTCGAAGCGGCATTATACAGATAGCGCAGACTTGAAGCGTCCGATGTGGAGCTGCGAAGTGTGCGGCATACGGTGGTCCGTGGTCATGTCCCCGTGTCGCGCGAGGGAAGCGCTGCAGAGAGGAGCCACCAATCGGGCGGCTCGGCGCCCTGCCCTCGACACTCACGGCCGTCTCCTGCCCAGAGGAGTGGCCGGGAGACTGTGCTGAGTGTGTGCGCGCCACCACGATTCTGTGAACCGATGCTGTCTGGTTGCCAGCCGGTTGACCATGTTTTGTGTTTCCCTGCGGCCCTCGGTGGGCCACGGCGACCACTGACCTCCGTATGTCCCTCCGGCAGAGTCATGAACCAGATGAACGACCACGGCATGAACGGAGGGGGCGGCGGCGGCGGCGGCGGCGGCGGCCCGGCGCTGGACGGTCTGGGCGGGGGCGGCGGCGGCGGGCGGCCGCCCCGAGCCCGGCCCGCCGGCCGCCCCGGCATGCCGTTCGGCGCGCTGTCGGGCCAGCCGGCGCCCCAGGCCGACTTTCCGCTGCGTATCCTGGTCAACAGCGAGATGGTGGGCGCCATCATCGGCCGGCAGGGCAACACGATCCGGCAGATCACACAGAGCACCCGCGCCAGGTGAGGACAGATCACACAGAGCACCCGCGCCAGGTGAGGACAGGTCACACAGAGCACCCGCGCCAGGTGAGGACAGATCACCCGGAACACCCGCGCCAGGTGAGGACAGATCACACAGAGCACCCGCGCCAGGTGAGGACAGATCACACAGAGCACCCGCGCCAGGTGAGGACAGATCACACAGAGCACCCGCGCCAGGTGAGGACAGATCACACAGAGCACCCGCGCCAGGTGAGGACAGATCACACAGAGCACCCGCGCCAGGTGAGGACAGATCACACAGAGCACCCGCGCCTGGTGAGGACAGATCACACAGAGCACACAGAGGACGGCTCAGTGGACGCTGTGGAGCGCTGGAAGGGTTACAGGGGACTGTCAGGTCACGGCGGCGGGACAGTGGAGCGCCGCAGCCGGTCACGGGGGTACCGCACAGGTCACGGCGGCGGGGCTATGGAAATTTGGTAGGGGTATTTACAGGTCACGGCCGCAGGGGTGTCGAAGGGTCACGGGGTGCCATACAGGTCACGGCCGCGGGCCGTGGAGCGGTGGAAGGGTCACGGAGTACTGTACAGTGTACAGGGTACCGGTCACGGTCGCGGGGCCGTGGAGCGCCGCAGCCGCTCACGGCCAGCAGTCGTGTCTCGGCGACATTTGCATGTTAATTCGGCTGCGTGGGCGCGCTGCTCACCGTTACTGGTGGAAACCGCCGGCTGCCGGCCTCGCTGGCTGAGCCGGCGCCGTCAGGGGCACCCAGCACGCGGGCCGCCCGAGGGACGGGCTGCTGACCCGAGGGCCGCGCGAGGGACGGGCTGCTGGGGCGGTACATGATCTCCTGAGACCGTCAGCCGGTGGGCGTAGCGCTCCTGTGACCGATGTCGGGTGCCAGGTGATACAACATTGACATCGGTCTCTATGACTCTGGACGCCTCCAGCCTCAAAAGCGTTACCGATTAGGGTCTTACACTGCATTCTGCTGTGTGGCCTATCAGTCATCCACCGTCAAAATCAGGCGACATTCAGCTTGTAACGGTACATCAAACGGTTACGGGCTGGAACTGGACTCGCGTGCAACAGCCGTTCGTTCGACTAATTTCTGCTTCCCGAGGCGCGGGAAATGTTGGCTCTACTCAATTAAAGGTAGTGTGCCAGCTTTCTTGGACCGTATGGAGTTAATGGCCCAGATAAGGAGAACCGGATTTTTAGAACTTATCCATACCTTCAAAACTCATGGAAACGTCTTAAATTCTTCAAATTTTGAGTACCCCAGTGCGAAATTCGCCCCGACGGGTTGTCGGTCGTACCCCAACCACATTTCACACCACTATGAACAATAAATGCACACACTGAAATCGCTATTACCGATATGCTCATCCAATCAAGTTTCGATAAACCCGTTCATCACCATCTCCTGCGGTTTCGAACACGCCTGTTAGGTGGCTTCTGATGCTCGTCGAGGTCGGAATTTCCAAATACGCGTGGTGCGTCGGGCCGCGCGCTCTGACTTCGGCCAAGAAAAATGCGTCAGCTGATCATTGTCATTTCTGCCACTTGCGTGTGGTGAAATGGGGTCATAACTTATAAGACGGCTTTTTCATATCAATTATTTTACATAAAATCATATTTCAAACCATAAATAATGTTCGACAGCCAAATAAAATAAACAATACAATACGGGCTTACAGTTTAAGGCTCGACATTGTGTTGTCTACGATTAGACAGCTGATAACTCATTCCCGTACGTCGTATGGTCGTAACCATAGATATAAAGACTAGATAGGGCACCCCCATGTCGGGAGCGACTCGCGAATACGTAGCAGCGGCCGCCATGTTGGTGAGGGCGAGAATCTGCGGCGCTGTGTAAACACTATGGGAGGAGGGGGGTGTTTGGGACAGATTTTGTGGTATTTTTCGACCGAAAAATGTTAATCTTTTTTACCTATGGCATTCTTTGGAATGAGTAGATTGTGAAACAAGGGCAGAAACATGTGTATTTATAGTAATGTAATTACATCAGCCCTAGACATATAGCCCTGAAGACGCTGATAAAGGATATGCGGCACCGAAGGTAGATGCAATTGGCATGCTAATTTAAGATAAAATTCGTTTCCCATTATGGCTACCATACTTTATATCTATGTATGCAGTATGCAATGGACAATGATCGACGATAAGTGCAATTTTAGCCCCCACCCGTTCGTAGTTTGTCAGCGTCTTACGAGTAGGGGAAGCCAGGGTGAACGGAGTGAACTCCAGCCGTTCGCCCCTCGACGGAGCAAGAACGGAAAAAATAGGTATGCTGTCCGCGATGTGAGTAAACCAGTGATACCAAATTTCAGGGTACTAGGTCAACGGGTGAACTCAGAGGTCAGGTCAAACACTGGAAATCGAACCAGTAAAGTCACTGGAGTTTGAGATCTTTCGCTATAAAATCGACCAAAACGCGTGATCTGTCGGCGAAATGGGTTACATCATTCCCAATCAACCTCATCTCGAAATCTAGCGAACCGGGTCACATAAGGTCATACAAGGTCAGCGACCTTAGATGACCTCGGATGGCCTTGACACATGGCGGGTCATGTGAAGTGTATTTATGGGCGCCGATCTCGAATCCCGTGTCAATCTTACTTTAAAAAATGATTTGCGAGCACAAATCCGCAAACATAATTAAGGATTACGAATAAAATGAGCAAGATGCTCCGAAAACTGCCCATATGAAGCGCAGCCTTGACCTCGAGGCAAATGCACGTTATCTAGACATCAACACTAAAAAAACGCATGTAAAATGCATAAACATGCACTAGAAGGCAAGGAAATTCACCCGGATGCGGCAAATCGCAAAATCCGCTTATTTTAGCCGAACATGACCTGACCCGAGCTCCGATGACCCATTCCTCACTTTGAATCAATCCGCGCCCCCTACAGGCACCGACATCGCCCTTGCGGACAGCACCGACGATAGTCGCACAGGCACGTGGCGAGCTAGTGTAACTGTAGCCGCGCCTTCAGCCACGAACACCAGTTTGTGCCGGATCAGCCAGCCACGGAGCAGAGACGGCCGGCAACGAATCGGCAATTAACAGTGCTACATATCGACACGATCACAAGAGGCGAGGCGTTAACCCAGCGCCCACTGCATTGGTCGCCAGTGGACCCACTCAGTCACTAAGCAATCATCGACAAAATACGTCTTTTATCGGCCAGACATTGATCTGTTCATTAATATGAAGTGTCCATCCAAATCCACGCTATCCGCCACACAGCAGCTATCGACGGTAGATACCCACTCCAGCGGCAGCTGGCCGCCACTCACTGACACCGGCTAGAGACAGCTGACCGCTGAAATCACCAACACTTCGGCAGGGTATGAGCGGGTCTCAGTCAGATCCCAGGCATGTAACCCGTCCCCACCTTAGCTCATCTGGCAGAGATGATGAAGAGGTGGTAAAGCTGTGTCATGTCGTCCGGCTGGATGTCGCTCACCAGGGCCTCCTGACAGGTGCTACAGCTGACAGAGTCGAGCGCCTTCTTCACCACGAACCCTGCGATGTAGGTGACGATGTTGCCCACCAGACGACAGCCCAGGCTGGAAGTCGTGCTCCGTGATGATGTGGAGTGCCGTCAGCCGTGGCACCGTTGTCTGAGGTGGTGGAGGCCGAGGTAGTAAGGCTGGCTCCCCGTCCGCTGGTCGTGTGACCGACTGCCAGGATGCTGGTCGGGTCGAGGGCTGCCACTTTCCCTGTGCTGCCGGGCCGGACGCCGCAGCGGTGGAGCAGGTGCCGGAATATCCCGCAGAACTGTGCGGCACTGGGGTTGTTCCAGCCACCTGGAAGGTTCGATTAGTATCAATAAAATATGGCTAATAGTGTTTAGTGTTAACATACGCCAGGCACAATTGTGTTGTATTTGTTGTTAACACATTGTTGACACACACGCACACGCACACACACACGCACACACACACACACACACACACACACACACACACACACACACACACACACACACACACACACACACACACACACACATGTTGGCAATGGTAAAGCAGTCTCCGGGCATTTGGTAATAATTTTTTGCACTTATTCTGGTTTTAGTGACTGATGGGCCTTTACCCACGCATGACTGGAGGGTGGGGCTCTACAGAGCCCCTCTCCTGTTTTCTGCAATAGAATATTTACATTTATATATTGAAAAAAAAATTAAAATATATATTTGTTGCAATATTTCTAAACCACTAGACGTGTCAATACGAAACTTGCAGTACCTTCGGCTGCATCAATCTCAAACATTTTATAGAAATAAAAATTGTGTAGCTACCATAGGTCGGCCGTAAATGACGTCAGAGTGATCAGTGAAGTTATACCTATTCTGCCAATTTTGATGCAAGAAATTGAACTACAGCAATCGCTCTCGGTGGCAGATAACCTGTAACAATATAAAAAAACAAGAGTCTGTAGCTTTTACTTGCCAATGCAGGGTGATCTCTTGACTCTTGAGCCTCATCCCTGGTTTGTCAGCAATCAAATCCTGCACATCTATTTGGCATCTTGATTCTTGAGAGACTGAGAGGCAAATTTCAATTTCAAAAGATACTAGTCTTTAAAGCTGAAACATATTAACAGTTAGTCAGATCAAAACAAGGCCTGTAGCATACAAGTGTAGGATACTGGATTTGCACACAGTACACACTACAAAATACACATAGCAAACAGTGAGATTACAGTCATGGAAAAGCATCAGGTTTTTAAAATAATAGTTTACACAGACTTAAATACAAGAATTTAAATGAGCTTCAAATAAAATGAGAAGTGGAGTGAAGTACCTAACAAATAAGGGTATCCATAAATCTGGTGCCACCGTCGGCACATATAAGGTTGGTAGGTTGTAGGTGGGTAGGTTGCAGGTATGGAGGTTGTATGTAGGTTGAGGTTTGCAGGTTGTAGGTTAGTTAGGTTAGTAGGTAAGGTTAGGTCAAGTAAGATTATGATTTTTATCTTCCTTGGACTTCATATTTACTTGTTAGCACTTAGCATTGATGGTAACGCCAGATTTACTAATACCCTATTTACTGATACTGATAACAGGTGAGCCAAAAGAGCATGAAGTGTAGTTTAAGCTTTACAATGTGAAAACTAATTAGGTAATGACAATCTGAGTTTAGGTGCTCCAACTAACGCACATTTTTACGTCACCCCTGTGCTGTTCATTATTGGGATCAAATGTGCGACACGGTTCACTGGTGCAGATATCACGACGTCTGGCATTTTCACTACCTATCTATCAGCTCTGGTTGAGGGTGAGCGTGGTATGCCACTGCACTCTGAACCCAGAGCGGATAAGAGCCCCCGAGGCATCTGGCATAGTGCATGGATTTTTCGTTTGGCACTGAACTACTATTTAATACTAACTGATGACATTAAGTAAAGTACTTATTTAAAACCTATAATCATAAAACCTTCTTACTTCATAAATATTGTCCATTGAAGGCAACAGTAGAAAGTGAGCAGGCAAAGCAAGTGTAGGTAATGAGTCTGCTTTCCGCTGCCAATGTTCTGGTACCTATCTAGGTAAGCTTTCTTTGTGAAAAATCATATGACTGATGCTCTATCCATGCAAGAATAATTAAAGGATTGTGGTGTGCACAAAAAAAAACATGGGAGCTGAATTAAATCTAAAACAGGCATGCCAAGCAAATCTACCTTTGGTGCCGCCTATTCTTCATCAGCGTCAACAGTGCAACATGTCTAAGGCTAACGTAGCCAAATTACAATAGATAAGCATATTTCAGCACTTGTTCCACAATCTACACATTCCAAAGAATGCCGTGAGCAAAAAAGATTAGCACTTTTCGGTCGAAAAATACCACAAAATCAGTCTCAAATACCCCCCTCCTCCCGTAGTGTTTACACAGCGCCGCAGATTCCCGCCCTCACAAACATGGCGGCCAGTCGCACGCACTAAAACACTGCCAATGTCCCATCTAGTCTTTTATATCTATGGTCGTAACACTATAATGACCTTTGCTTATTGTCACAAGTGCGCCGCATTCGCGATTGTTGCCCGACGCCTGTTTGCAGGTGAGCCCACTACAGTTGTTATACATATCTAAAAACCGAAAAACTTTTAGGCGAAAAAGGCACTATTCCAGGCCCATTTTTGATTTTTTTTGCGATATTAGGTAAAAACAGAAGCTTCTTATCCTAGGAAAAATAAAATGGGAAATCTTTCAAAGGTGGCACACTACCTTTAACATGTAATGCATTATGTATGTATGCGGACTGCTGGCTTGTGCCATGCCATGCGTACTTCCGCAGTCCGCACGTTTCCGCACAGTGTGCTACAGACATGGCACAACAATGCGATAACGTACTGACCAAGGCCCATTTCAAGCCCATACTAACACAATGAACCGGGCATCGGCAGGGAAAGGTATTTTGATACATTGAGTCGAAGAAAATCAACTGAACTGTTGCTAAAGTGGCTTCTGTTAGGGCACAAAACCATCACTTTATTTTATACTTCCTTTGGCCCAATGTAGGTACCCTTTTGCGTTACCACGATACATTTCCTGGCAGGTATATGTATATTTTGTATCATTGGAAGATGTATTTCAACTTTCAAGTTTCAATTGCGTCATGGTTCACCGCCTCATTGCGATGGTCCTCGCTCGAAGAAGGGCTGACTGAGCCACTATGTCAGTGTCCGTTGTGCCCCAGTCGCGAACAGGAAAATCATACACGATGTTCACTTGTATAGCACGACATGGCCGCTAACCTCAACTCCATTCACATTGATCACAAACAGGAAATTCCCAGGTGGAAGCGTTCCCCGTGCTGGGGTCACTGACCGCCGGCTGCTGCCTGCCCGGGGGGCGGGGGTCGGCGGGGACGAAAACGGGGGGGGGGGGGGTCACGCGACCCGAGCGGCTGAAAGAGTGACACGAACATGAAACCACCGCTGCCCGTGCATTTCGCTGTGTGCAATGCTATACCGATAGTCCAGCTACTTATGTGGGATAAATTGATTAAGTCTCATCCCTATCCAGTGCTGAGAAATGTTTGGGATTCTCTGGCTACCCGCTACATTTGGTTTGCGAGTTAAGTTATGACAAAAGTCGGCCGATTATGATGCTCTGGCGGATGAGTTCGGGCCGGGGGTCCGTGTCGCGTTATTAGACTGGACTGTATGGACGGACACCTGGACATTTGGGCTGCCACTGCCCCGGTTGGGCTGGGCGGACACCTGGACATTGCCCCGGTTGGGCCGGGGGACACCTGGACAGTGGACATGTAAGGCTGGCACTGCCCCGGTTGGACCTGGCGGACACCTGGACAGTGGACATGTAAGGCTGGCACTGCCCCGGTCTCGGCACGGTCTAACGGCTGCTGGATGGAGGGTGAAGTTGTCGACTATTTGCTGACTTACGTGTCCTTGTCTTTCGCAGGGTTGATGTGCATAGAAAGGACAACACTGGCTCCTTAGAGAAGGCCATTACGATATATGGCAACCCCGAAAACTGTGATAATGCGTGCAAGAAAATCATTGAAGTCATGATGCAAGAGGCGGCCAATACAAATAAGGGGTAAGTCGGAGGAGCGGTCTGGCGCCCGCACCTATACCCTGTCCGAGCCCGTCGCCTCGTCACACTATAACGAGCTGATCAGGTGGCTGCAGTGAAATGTTCACTGTCATTTTACGTCGATGCCGTACTCTGTCTAATTTAGATACTAGATTATTTACATCAAATCTGCATAGTAAACCATAGCACATACCTACATACGAGTACACATCAGCTTGTCTGCAAACACCGCGATAGGTCATTGCTCATGATGGGATATTTTTATTTGTACCCGGGAGTGATGCGCCGATGAATTGTTTAGGTAATGTGTGTTACATATTGGGTTAGTTCGTGCCAGCTGCCTTGAAGATCCCAGTGTGACCCCAGATTGACTGGCCCCAATTCAGACCCCAGTGAACCCCAGCTGTCCCCAGATAGCCTGGTGTGTTTGACCCCAGTTCAGACCCCAGTGTTCCATGACCCGAGGTCCGGCTCCGTCTCCGCCTCGGTCTCCGTGTGGGCGGAGCAGCAGCTGTGACGGCCGGCCCGCGTTCACAGGGAAGTGCCGCTGAAAATACTGGCCCACAATAACCTGATCGGACGGATCATCGGCAAGGGCGGCAACGTCATCAAACGAGTGATGGAGGAGACCGACACGAAAATCACCGTGTCCAGGTGAGGAGACGGGCCTGGAGCTCTCTCTCTCTCTCTCTCCTCTCTCTCTCTCTCTCTCTCTCTCTCTCTCTCTCTCTCTCTCTCTCTCTCTCTCTCTCTCTCTCTCTCTCTCTCTCTCTCTCTCTCTCTCTCTCTCTCTCTCTCTCTCTCTTTCTCTCTGTCTCTGTCTCTGTCTCTGTCTCTGTCTCTGTCTCTCCGTCTTTACTCTCTACTCGTTTACTGCATCATTGATCATAATCCTTTGGAGAACCCATAACTTATTGTATGCTGTTTATTGGAAAGTTTAATCAATAACGTCCACTCAGTAATAGTAGACGTTGACGTAGACGTCTACTCTTACGTCCAAAGCAACTTGTGACGAGAACAAGTTAGATATTTTAAGTTTAAATATTATGATTATTTTTTCGACAAAAGATGCTGTCCTCCTCCGAAAAGCGCCCGTTCGGCGATTTTATCATCGGGCATCCCCCGAGTAGCTCCGCTGTAAACTGCACTGTGTTCATCTCTGCTGTAGCCGCACTGTGCTAACTCTACTGTAGCCGCACTGTGCTATTTCTACTGTAGCCGCGCTGTGCTGACTCTACCGTAGCCGCACTATGTTTATCTTTGCTATAGCCGCGCTGTGCTGACCGGTGCCGTCCCCGCGCTGTGCTGACCGGTGCCGTCCCCGCACTGTGCTGACCGGTGCCGTCCCCGCACTGTGCTGACCGGTGCCGTCCCCGCACTGTGCTGACCGCTGCCGTCCCCGCGCTGTGCTGACCGCTGCCGTCCCCGCGCTGTGCTGACCGCTGCCGTCCCCGCGCTGTGCTGACCGGTGCCGTCCCCGCCGTCCGGCAGTGTGGCCGACATCAACAGCTTCAACCTGGAGCGGACCATCACCATCAAGGGCGGCCTGGAGGGTATGTCGGACGCCGAGCGGCTGGTGGTGGCCAAGCTGCGCCAGAGCTACGAGAACGACCTGCAGGCGCTGGCGCCGCAGTCCATCATGTACCCGGGCCTGCACCCCATGGCCATGATGTCCACCATCGGCCTGGGCTTCAGCCGCGGCGCGCCGGGCCTGTACGGCGCCGGGCCTGCCGCCTACCCACCCGTCTACCCGAGCGGGCCGGCCGGCCAGCAGCCGGCGCCCGCCTCCGAGACCGTCTGCCTGTACGTGCCCAGCGCCGCCGTCGGAGCCATCATCGGACGCAAGGGCAACTACATCCGCAACATGATCCGCTTCAGCGGCGCCTCGGTCAAAATCGGTCAGCAGGAGGAGGAGGGCGGCGGCGGCGGCGGCGGCGGCGGCTCGCCGGGCGCGCGCCACTCGCCGCCGCCGCCCACGGACGGCTCCGAGCCCGGCGGACACAAGGCGCCGCTGCTGGAGCACGTGGCGGAGAGGAAGGTGACCATCTACGGCACGCCCGAGGCGCAGTGGAAGGTAAGTGACCCCCCCCCCCCTCCGCCGCGGGAGGGACCCGGGCCGCGCAGCTGTGACCCGGATACGGGCCGACACGTTTTTAGGCGGTTTAGGCGATACAAACATATGGTGTAGCAAGGGCAGTGTGCCTTTTTGTCGGCGACACTTGGACCATCACGGGATGCAGTTGTGCGCAGCCGCCGACTGTTCTGACCTGACTCATGACGGCTAGAGCTGTTAGTGCTCAGGTGGTTTCACCGTGCACACAAATAAAATTATACGCTGATCGTTTATAGACACTAGTCCGAAGCGATTGTTTCTATCTGAGAAAGATGGCGTCCGTTACGTTTTCAGTCAGCTGATTGTCTCAGCCGCTGGTCTGAGCACCAGTGTCGCTGTGTAGTGTGTACTGACGCCCGCCCGCTCGGTCCCCGGCAGGCGCAGTTTTTGATATTTGACAAGATGCGAGAGGAGGGCTACGGCGTGGGGATCGAGGACGTCCGGCTGCCGGTCGAGTTGACCGTGCCCAGCTCACAGGTGGGCCGCATCATCGGCAAAAAGGGCCAGAACGTGCGCGAGCTGCAGCGCTCCACGGGCACCGTCATCAAACTGCCGCAGCCGCCCGAGGACGGCCTGGCGCCCGAGGAGACGGTCGTGCACATGGTGGGGCCCTTCTACTCGGTGCAGTCGGCGCAGCGGCGTATCCGGGCGCTGGTAGCGCAGGGTGCGCCGCCGGCCGGCCGGCCACCGCGCGCGCCCCTATCGCCGCCGCCGCAGCCGCTCATCTAGTGACGCTCCCGCCGCCGCAGCTGCCGCCACCACCGACCACCGGCCACCACCGACCGACGCCCAGCCTCTGCCACTCTCTCCTCTGTCCGCCGCCACCTCCAGCCGACCCTCAGGACCGGCCGGAGACGCCCTCCGGCCGTCCCTCAGGACCGGCTGAGGGCGCCACGACCCTCCAGCCGTCCCTCAGAACCAGCAGCGCCCAGCGGCCGGCCGGGGGCGCCATCGTGCGCCTCCGTGTCACCGCCACCGCACGACCGGATAACAGCTAGCTGATAGGTGCGCGGGAATCGATGTCTTTATATGTCTAGTGAGTAAATTGTTTATTTTTTATATGTGTTAATGAAATTTTTGTTGAATTTTATATGCGAGAGAGCTAGACGGGCCGCGCGTACTTGAGACGCGCCGCCGCGCGCCGGGCGGCCGCCGGGACAATCCGGGCCCGCCGGCGGCCCAGGAGAGAGTGACCGAAGAGAGAAGACAAGGTGAACAGAAAACAGAAGGAAAGCAGGAGAGAGAAGAGGAGCCTGCAGGGAGCGCCCCGGGCTCCCGCCGGCAGAACCCCACCCCTACCCGGCCGATCAGCCAGACCGACCGAGCCTACCTCGCGCGCCGCGACCGCCGGGCCGCCACGAGAGCGACAATGCCAGAGAGTGAGAGACAGAGAGCTGCCGCGGAGTGCTGGCAGGCGTGCCCCTACCTCGCCCGGCGGTCGGGCGCCGCCCGCGCGGTGGCGCCGGCGCCGGCCGGCCGCGCCGGCCGCTCCCTCAGGTCCGCTGCGCAGCCGGGCCGGCGCGGCCGGCCGCCGCCGCGCGCCGCCACACTGTATCATAGCTGCATTCAGTACCCGTTCTCCGTTACTCTTTGCTTACATGGTGTGTTGGGCGGCGGCGGCACGGCGCGGGTGCCGCCCGCCCGCGCCGCCGCCGTCCGCTGTATCTGTTGGTGTACGGGCGCGGCGGCCGGTCCGCCGGCCCGCCGCGCGCCCCGTATACTACCGCTGCCGTGCATGTACCTATGTTTATTGGTATTTGAGTTGTTAGACTATCGGTAGTTGCGGCCGGCCGTCTTGGGCCGGCCGCTGTGCGCCGGTACAAAGGCGGCCGTCCCGCGGCGCCGGCCACTCTGACCTCAGCGCTCTACCTCAGGCGCCGGCTGAGCGGGGCCGGCCCGCGCGCCGCGCGCCCTCCACCCCAGCAGTCGACTGTAACCTTCCGAGCTCACCGCTCCGTGGAGCGCCGGTTTCTGGCTGGACAAATAAATTATTACGGTTGACGTGGTGGCGTTGTTGGCGGCTGTCTGTGGGCGGCGTGTGTCGATCGCTCGGGACGGCGCTGACGTGGGTCCGAGCTCGGCGTCACTCGGCGCCCGGCAGGCGGCGTACCGTCCGCCCGGGGAGAGCTCAGCCGCTCAGACCACAGAGCTAGGCTTAGTGTAACAGGCTCGGCCCGATGTAACTGGCTGAGAGCTCGCCGGCCGCACTCGACTTCAGTTATGTAATGTGCGCCCCTGCCCGCAGCGGTCTGTCGTCACGGATCGACACGGCATGACAGCATGCCGCTGACTGCGATACCGGCGGGTGCCCCCCCCCCCCCCTCCCCACTCAAGCCTGACTCGCCTGCCGCGGTTAGTACTCACACCGCGGTGCACTGTACTTACGCCGTGGTGCTCTACACTCGGCGGCGGCCGTAGTGCACCCGCCGCCGGCATTGGTCGCGAGTCCGTCCGCCCAGTGACCCGATGGTCGGTACCTTTCCTCGGGGTGAATCTCCAGTGATCCGTTCAGCGCAGCGCTTCGAGCTGTCTTTGGAACCAGTCTGTCATTTAAATGCCTGAACCACGAGGGAAGCGGAACCGATCCAACTGATTTTGACTCAGCGACCAGCCCGCCGTCCCAATCCGTCCATGTGCTTTACTCTCATTTTCGTCCTCCGAACGCCTGGGCAGGTAGTTGTGGCCGGATGCTGGGTGATAGAGAAGCAGGCGCAGCGCCTCTCGCGAGGCAACCCAGGCCCACAAACCGATCTCGCCCGGCTCACACTTCACCGTATTGTTGCGAGTAGCAAACTAAACGGACTGAATGGGGGCTGCTGCACGGCGTTCGCGGGTGAGGTCGCCACTGCCGGCCCGGTCAGCGCGGGTACGCTCCGGGCCACGACAGGTGACCGGCTGCTCTGGTCTGATAATCTGTCACTGAGGCACGGGATTACCGTATGACAGCCAGCCATACGGACGGCGTGCGACCCGGGTCCGACAATACTCTGCAAAACCCGAATCACCAGTCGGTCCCCAGCCTATCTGTCCTCATAAATGCTTGACTGTTCCAAAAGCCCCACCCCAATCGCCATCAGGTCAGTCACGTCAGCTCTGAAATAGGCATGTACTCTATGTAATATGCTCCCTGGACCCCACCTCATAAACTTATATGGCCTTGACCTCATAGACCTTGTTAGCTCCAAACGTCTTTGTTCCGGCTTGATTCTGGCCTCAGCTTGGCCTCAGCTCGGAGTAAAGCAGCTTTCAAGCGTGCAAATCACGTCTCGGCACATCCCAGTGGAATACGTGGCATAATTTTTCCGCTCCTCACTCGAAGCGCGTTGAGCTGCTGGTTGAGAGCAGAAACTAAGCCACCGTAGGCGCGGGTACCGGAGGGGCAGTGGGGGCAGCTTGCCCACCCTCCCAACTCTGGGGCTGTGGGGGCGGTGCCCCCACAACTTTGAGACGGAATACCGCACTTTTTTATGCAAATGTTTTCTTTTTTGTTCGAAAGGTCGAGGGATGAATCATGAAACATAAGTGGCCTAAAACCGGTGAGAAAACTAGATTTGGGGTACCCTAGGTTGATATCTAATATGGTGTGCCCCCCCCCCCTCAGTCTGAAAGTAGTTCCCGCGCCCCTGTACGCCATAGTATTCCAATGCGAGGTGCTGAGACGCAATTTCATGCTTGAAAGCTGTGTTCCGGCCAAAAAGTGAAACAGACTCAAGCCAGTCTGGAAATCGCACGCGAGAGCCTTTTCAAATAGGTACATTAAATCCTGCTAGTATCAATCATGCTCGGGGAGGTGCGCACGATTGATGAGAGCGCAATTTAATGTATTTAAATCGACTCTCGCATGCGATTTCCTGACTGCGGAAGGAGTCTGTTGCAGCCTTTTATCTCTATCTCTAGGAATCTACATAGCCTAAAGCCTGGCCGAACATCGGTTCCACCCACGTATTTCGGGCCTTGGGTCCCCCTCTCCAGCCCAGAGCACAGAGTACGCGTCGGTCGGTTCGTGGCTTTATTCTGGTGGCTCCTCCGCGGCGCTCACTACTAACGTTGGCGGCGGCCGAACGCCGGCGGCGGTTGGAATGTACAATAGCGGCCGCGCTATAGTCGACCCGGCCCACAGACAGGCCACACAGACTCCACGACACCGCAGAACGCATATATGCAGCCGCATACGACTATACAATTATTCATCACAAAATGTAGGTATATAAATCAATAATTGCACACACGCACACATGATTTGCGCGGACCATCGACATAAGTGTAGTCTATCCGGCCATTCAACAGTTACATACAGAGCTCGCGTGATAGCTTTCTGGGTTCTGGAACACAACACTGAGGGCGGGACTCGCCAGTGCCAGCCCCGGTTAAAAACGCGACTTCCGACACACACATCGGACCGCGGCCTCAGACAACTAGATATAACGTAAATCTGACAGAATATACCTAATGGGGTTGTGGGGTTATTTCACCTAAATTGATCACTCTTTTTGCAGCGGGTTATTCAAATAGCAGTCAGAGGTCCTTGAACTGGCTAATAATTCAGGCGCGTGAGCCAATCAGCGTGGCCGACAATCAGGCTCCGCCAATCAGCGCCACGGACTGCCCAGATCTGGACCAATCAGCGCCGACCATCTGGCGCTGTTCGTTCTAACGCCCTCGTCCAATGGAAGTCGCCGACCGCGCCTTTCTAACTCCTACCAGATTGGGATGTAGTTGTCGATTTTGGCCTTGTGTTTTTGCGAGACGCACTCTGCGATCCAGACGATGTTGCGGCACTCCTGCTCCTTCAGCTTGAGGTACGAGTAGAAGGTGCCGTAGTGGAACTGCTGCAGGAAGGCGTTGATGTTGAGGCGCACCTGCGGCGGCCCGGGCGGCACGGTCAGAGCGTGTACACGATACCACAGCGGGTCCGCCCCGGTCACAGGAGTGGGAACTCCGGGACGGCGGCCCCGTCAGAGCGTGTACACGATACCACAGCGGTCCGGGGGGCCGGGTCAGACACGATACCACAGCGGTCCGGGGGGCCCGGTCAGACACGATATCACAGCGGCACGGGCGGCCGGTCAGACACGATACCACAGCGGCACGGGCGGCCGGTCAGACACGATACCACAGCGGGGCTGCCCCGGTCACAGACGTGGCAGGGAGTGGGAACTCCGGGACGGCGGCCGGTCAGACACGATACCACAGCGGGTCCTCCACCCCGGTCACAGACGTGGCAGGGAGTGGGAACTCCGGGACGGCGGCCCGGTCAGAGCGTGTACACGATACTACAGCGGGGCTGCCCCGGTCACAGACGTGGCAGGGGGTGGGAACTCCGGGACGGCGGCACGTAATTCAGAAACTCATCAAATACAGAACCAGTCGCTTCGTTTCTCCGCTAAAAGTATGACACTGTCACTACTGGGGTTAGCTACAGGCATAATCGGCATAATAAATACAGCTACCTGCGTGGAGGAGGAGACTCCAGCGGTCTCCGACTTATTAACTGTTTTCTTCCAGCAGGGCCTGTTTCCTTGCAAGACCTTTCAAATGTATGTACCCACAGAACCCTTTCTGGTACATATTTCTCCAACAGTTGCATTATCATACGAAAAAAGAGAGAACAGCCCACCCACCTCGCGCTCGAAGAACTTGTCCTCGAGTGTCTTGTCGCCGGGGTTGTTACCGGCCTCGTCGAACAGCGTGCGGTACTCCTGAGAACGGAAGGAGGGGGAGGGGTCAGAGGAGTCCACATCCGGTACTCCTGAGAACGGGGAGGGACGGGGGAGGAGGGGTCAGAACACACGTCCAGTGCGGTACTCCTGTGAACGGGGAGGGAGGAGGAGGGGTCAGAACACACGTCCAGTGCGGTACTCCTGTGAACGGGGAGGGAGGGGGAGGGGTCAGAACACACGTCCAGTGCGGTACTCCTGAGAACGGGGAGGGACGGGGGTTAGATGAGTCCACAGCCGGTACTACAACGAACGGGACGGTTCAGACCGGACCGGGCTGTGAATGAGGCGGACTGAAAACACAGACCTGCCGCCGCTCAGCATATACACAGCAGCTCCACTGCAGATAGCACGTCCCCCTCCCCGGCATGCACTTACGCAGTCGTACTCGCCAGCAGATACTCACGCCGTTAGCATCCTCCCGTTAGATACTCACACCGTACTACACCCCCCACACTCGGTACTCACACCGTACTACTTCGGTACTCACGCCCAAGTACACCCTTCCGTTAGATACTTACGCCGTAGTACTAGACCCCACTGGGTACTCACGCCGTAGTACACCCTCCCCCACTGGGTACTCACGCCGCAGTACAGTACACCCTCTCCCACTGGGTACTTACGCCGTAGTACACCCTCTCTCACTGGGTACTCACGCCGCAGTACAGTCCACCCTCTCCCACTGGGTACTCACGCCGCAGTACAGTACACCCTCCCCCACTGGGTACTCACGCCGTACTACACCCCCACACTGGGTACTCACGCCGTAGTACTATCACCCATCCCCCACTCTGTACTCACGCCGTACTACACCCTGCCGTTCGGTACTCACGCCGTAGTACTCGGCGACGGCCTTGACTTGTTCGTAGTCGTCGGCGCGCGCCAGAGCGGCGATGCCGTCCGGGTTGAGCTTGCCGCAGCGCGGGTACAGCTTGCTCCGGTCGTCCTTGCTCAGCTCCGTGCCGAACGAGTTGATTGTGATGATAATGGCACGACGGTCAGCCTCAAACTGCCGATAGCGGGGGGGAGAGGGGGGTGTCAGTCTCAAACTGCTGACTACAGGGGGGGGGGATCAGTCTCAAACTACAGGGGACACAGGGGGGGGGGGGGTTCAGCCTCGAACTGCGGGGGACAGGGGGAGGGGTGTCAGCCTCAAACTGCGAAGGACAGGGGGGGGGGGGGGGTCAGCCTTAAACTGCGGGGGACAGCGGGGGGAGATGAGTGTCAGCCTCAAACTGCACGAGAACAGGGGTGGGAGCAAGCAGCCTAAAAATGCGGGCAGGG